CCCCGCCGATACGGCTCGTTGACCAGCGACAACCACAGCTTGCTTCGTGATACTTCAAATGGCTGGAATTCGCTTACGGGAACTCGTAACTCCAGCGCCGCGGCCACGCCCGTGAGAACGCCTGTCAGAGAAGTTGCAAGTATCGCATCGGCAGGAAATGCGCACTTGAGCGAGCTCTGGGCTAGATATGAATTTTCGAGGTCCCAGTACACGGTGCAGAATAAGCTTCTTGAGGTAAGGTGGCTCTTGCGCTCTGTCGATATTTTCAAGACCTACGATGCTGTTGGGAATAGTACTAACACTCCGACTAGGAGGTTCTACACCGCTATTCGAATCTTGTCCTTGAACATGAAGAACTTCAACGGACCACGATTGCAGGCTCGACAGATGGACAGGCACAGCAGTCGTTGCAGGGTAGCCTGCAAGTCATGACCACAGAGCGTAACGTGCTCAAGGACCTACTGCTCGCCAATCCTTTTATCATGGTCCTCATTGATGGCAACGGCATGATATTCAACAACGAGTTGCTCCAGCTTGGCGAGAATGGTGGGCGCAAGGCCGCACGCCAGCTCAAAGAATCCGTGACTCGAATGCTGGCCAGTCACCCCTACTGTCCGCCGGAGTCACGCATCGATGTCAAGGTCTACGCCAACGTGAAGAGTCTGGGCCGTACCCTCGTCTCTGCCGGCATTTTGAGCTCTCAGTCTGTGTTCGAGGACTTCGTCACTGGATTCAACCGCGGAGACGAGACCTGCGACTTCATTGACATTGGATCTGGCAAGGATGTGACTGATATGAAACTCAACGGTAGGTGCTCATCCAGTTTTGGACGAGACAAAGACATGTACTAAAGACAAATCCAGCCAACTTTCGACAGTTCTTCCACGACTATCAGTGCCGGCAGGTAGTCTTCGGCTGTAGCCACGACAACCGATATGCCCGTTTCTTAGAGAACTTCATGAACAACAACGATGAAACTGGCCGGGTCACTCTGCTTGGCGGTGTACCATTTGAGAAAGAACTCGATGATCTTCCTTTCAACAAGCAGACAATACCTGGCCTGTTCCGTGACACTAAGCTCAGCCTTGCTCCACTGGACCTACTGGGTGACATATCTCGCGGCCGTCACGATTCAAAGAATGTCTTCAATCCAGCCAGTGCTATGTTCACACCTCCACCATCAACACGTACGCCGGCACCGAGCACACCGATGTACAGTCCTACGACGCTGTCGTTCAGAGAGCCTTCGACACGAGCCAATAGCATCACGTCCTCGGTTGCTGTGAGCGAACCTGCTGTCGTGGCTGGCGCTCCCACGCCTGTCGTGGCTCCCGTGGCGCCGGTGACCCCTGGTGGAGGATGGGCAAACATGGCACGCAAGAATGCACATCTGCCCTTCAAGGATATCCGAAAGCCAACACCGGAAGTGCCTCAGAATGGACCCGTTGTTCTGGTAAACAAGGATGGTTACCGTATCGACAAGGACATGGACTATGATCACGACAAAGTATACAAGCTGAAGCAAGCGAAATATTGCAATCAGGTATGTGTTGACGCACAGTCGTTCATTCAATGGCATACTGACAGATCGTGCTAGCATTATATTGGGCGTGGCTGCTGCCACCACAGAGCAGCTAATGGCGCTTGCCCGCACGAGCACAGCGTAAAGCTCTCTGAAGACGACAAGAAATGGTTACGAGTTGTTGCTCGGGAGACCGTTTGCAAGAAAGGCACATCTTGCCGCGAAATCGATTGCATTTACGGCCATCATTGTCCTTATCCCAAGCTGCAAGAAGGTTCATTAAAGGGAATTGGATGTATCAATGGCGACAAGTGCCGCTTTGCTCCTGAGATGCACGGCATGGACAAGAAGGTTCACAAGGTGTTGACGCCGAAGGATCTTGAGCTTTCTGGGGAGATATAGTCGCAGCCCAGATCGACCCTAGATTTGAGGATTCAGGACTAAATCGGGGTCGTTGCTGGTTGACACTAGATATGGGATACAGAGCAGCCACGTCGTTGGCACTGTAATAATACAGGATTTCACTAGAGTGCTTACTGTTCCATTCTGTATCATTCTGTCTATCTGTATCTTCATCGTTCGAGCGGGCGATCAGTGCCGTCGCTTCTACATATCCACCGAACACCGGAATCTTCCGCCAGGCACCTCACTCCACTTTCTTCCCTGTCTTCTCCCGGAATCGACCCTCTTGCTCAACAACTGCTTTAGGCAGAGCAGCGCCTCGTCCCGTAAGCACGAACAATGCCCATTTCCATCGGAAAGGATTGATCAAAATGACAAAGACGAACCAATACACGAGCTCCGAATACGTGAAGAAGTCGAAAGCCCCCGTCGGGGCAAACCTCTTGACCCATCTCGTGAAGTCTATCCAGAGTTTCATGAGGCCTTCGGTAGGACGTGCCAAAGGATCAACCAGAAACATGAGCAGGAATCGAGTATAGATTCCAATGTGCCAATTTCCCACTGCACCGATGGCATTGACGTAAGTACAATTGTTTGCGCAGATGGACACGTGCTTGGGCGGGAAGACTTGGAGGTACCAGTTTGGTGGCTCGTAGTTGTCTTCGAAGCATTCGTCGGGTAAAAAGCTGAGCGACGGGCGTTCGTATCCGGTGGCTAGGATGCATATGTCGCCTTCGATGAGTTCTTCGCGACCAGGGCCATTTTTGGGTACACCTTGGCTTCTGTGATTGAATTTGATGCCGTTCTCCTCGAAGTTCTTGATGTCTCCGCGAAGCCAGCTTGCTTTGCATGATCGGATTTGTTCCAGTACGTCGTTGTTGACCATGGGCGTCTCCATGAAGATGCCCTTGCCGCTATTCTTGGCGGGTGCGATGTCTGACAGGTCGCGATAGAAGAAGAGGCGAAGGAGTTTCTCGGGTATCCAGGAGAAAATGGTTTCCTGGCCGAAGATGTTCAATGCCAGGAGGATGTCGATGATTGGATTACGAGGTATAATCCATTTCTCAGATCGTGATAGGATGTATGTCTTTTCGGCACCAGCTGCGGTAGTGAATTCCATTGCCTCAATGGCACTGGCTCCGCCGCCGATGACAAGTACTTTCTTTCCCTTTGCGTCATTCTCTGCAAAAGAGTCAGTCTCATCTCCATTCTTATGTCCTCTGAAGTAACTCACCTTTGCCATCTAGCTGGCTCGAATGGAAGATCTTGCCCTTGAACTTCTCTTGTCCGGGCATTTGGGGCTTCTTCGGATCTCCACAGGTTCCAACCGCCGCGATCACACCGTCGTATCGTCCATTGCTCTCGTTGTTGATGATCCAGCGACCCTGCTTGTCCTGATAGACCTTCTCAACTCTCGTGTTGAACTTGGTTTTCTTCTCAAGACCATATTTCTTCCAGACATCCTTTACAGCTTTGACGATTTCTCCTCGACTCGGGTATCCTTCGCTCCATGTCACACTAGGATGGAAGCGATACATCACGCTGTGGATCTGCAGGCCTGAAGTATTGTTGACCTTGGCCCAGATGCCTCCGAGAGAGTCTTCGTCGCCAGCTTCGAAGATCGTGACATCGAATCCATGGCCAACGCAGTGGGATGCAGAGGAGACTCCGGTGAGACCAGCTCCGATGACTGCAATGCGAGGCCGGCTAAGTTGCGTGGAGGGAGTCGGCGGGGCAGGAGAGAGGACGAAAGCGAGCAGGTTCTGGAGTAGTCGGAACAGCCAGTTCAGCGGGTCGTTGAGGAGGTGCTGGACATAGCTCTCCAGTGTGCTCTGCGCCATGGTACCAGGCACTGTTGACGACGAGACGAAAGCGGGCAGTCTCTTCACTTACCTCCTGGTTCGATGCGAGAATTGCGGCGCGCAAAGGCTACATGTCTTATGGGTCAAGCGCGAACGAGCGCAGTACGTCACATTGAGGCATTTGCTTCGGCGACTGGAGACCTGTTGCGACATGAGCAGTCGTTGCTGCTCTCCCCGAACCATCCGCCAGGAACGGCAGCTCCCTACGTCACAAGTGGATTTTCACATGACAGCTGCGAACCACATCCCGGGCTAGCGTCAACCTTGTCGAGTCCACCACGCCCTCGCCTCGCTCCATATCTGCCATCGTTCACAGCTCATCACAGCATCGCGCAGTATTGATCCCAATCGTTTGGAACAATGGACGATCCCATAGCAGAAATTCGCGGCATTGTGCATAAGTTGACACAAGGCTCTCCGCGACAACAAGAAACAGCTATCACGAACTACTTTACCAGCGATGCTAGCTTTACTGTGCGTTTCTTCCATGTCCATATTCATACCGATGTACTGAACGTCCTCAGCACCCCTTCTGCCGCACCGGAAGCTTCGAGGGCAGCAGATGGCTCATTCTCCAAATCTTCCGATGGTACAAGATCATGTCTCCTACTATCATCCTCAACGTCAACAGCGTAGCATACGACGAAGACAAGATGATACTCTACGTCAGCATCAGCCAGATCTTCTCCATCTGGTTCGTGCCTCTCCACAAGAGCGCTGTCGACTTGACCACCGTACTGCAACTTGTCCACAAACCTGGTTCGCGGAAATACTACATCCAGTCTCAGAACGATCTCTACCAGGTCGATCAATTCTTCCAATTCTTCGCTCCATGGGGAATTGGGACGGCAATCGTTATGTTCTGGCATTTCTGGGCAACGTTCTTTTGCGTGATTCTAGCTTTCCTGGGCAAGCCGTTTACGAGCCTGATGGAGTCGCGGTGGGAACGCAAGCAGCGAACACACTTGCGCACGAACGGAGTGAACGGCCGAGAAAGTGCTCGAGCTTCGACCGAAGTCAAAGGGTTCAGCTTTGTGGGTTACGGACAGGACAATTAGGCACGGCTGTCTTATCGTTGGAGGTGCTTCGACTTGGGCCAAAAACTTCGCTTTATGGACAAACTAATGGAGCTTCGACTCAGATTCGGGATAGAAGGCGCGTTATGGTCGCGACCATTCTTCCCATGTATACAAGATCGAAGAACAGAACCTCGGCCGAGCGACCTCACACCACTACCCACAATTCCAGAGGTGGAAGGGCCAGGTCAGGCCCGGTGGTGCCTTGAAATCGACAGGACAATGTAAACGGACAGTACAGGCCAACACTAATTTATTGATTTGCTCGAGAGTAGTCTGATTCTTCGTTCTGGTAACCATTCCACTGTTCGTATCCATGCTGTTGTCGTCCCAGCAATTCACGCCAGGTACTGTGCACTTATTCTTCCCTGCCTCCAATTCATCATACGAATTGAATCTCAGGCTTAGGGCCGCGCTCCGTACCCCAGGCACGTTCTAGGAGCGCGATGATGATCTGTATGCCACAGGCCCACGGTGAGTTTTCTGTGGCTTTCGTGATCCAATCGATACTTCGGCTGGCCGAATCGATCGCAACTCATTGCAGAGGAAGACGGATCTTGGCCAAGTTTCGTCGCTCTGAGAAGCGCTCTGCCTAATTTGGCCCTGAACATCTCCACTTCTCCGCCTAGATGGCGACAAGTGAAGCGAAGATGCGGGCCTCAGTACCACCCCAGCTGTCTTGATTTCGCTACTGGGAAGCGCATCAAATCAGCCCAGAACCCATGCAATCAAGCCAGCATCACTGCGGACGCTTCCATGTCAGCTCCATCATGCTGTCGCCTCTTCTTCGCATCTACACTCATCTCCCAAACAGTCCAAAAAACCTCCCACCCGCACCCCCACTCCCATGCCTCGCAGCCTCCCTCTCAATCCACCCCCTCAAAAACTCCCTACTTTTCAAATCCTCCAACCTCGCAACCTTCGTCTCAATCTGCGGTTCTTGTCGATCAAACGCCAAAAGCGTCGGAACCGAAGTAACCATATACCTTTGCGCAATTCCGGAAACTCCTCCTAAATCTGGACTATCCATTTCTATTTCTGCGAAGCTCACGCTGCCTTTGTCTTCTCCTACACCGTCATGTTCGATGAGGTCTTTGATGAGAGGTAGAATTTCATCGCAGTCACGACTCCAGGTTGTCATCCAGAGGGTTATGAGGGGGACGCGACTGCTGGCGCTGCTGAGGATCAGGGTGTGGAGGTCTTCTTCGTTGCGGACGCGGGCTGGGTAGATGCGGTTTCGGGCGGAGAGGGGTGGGGTGGTTGAAAATTGGCGGGTTGTGTGGGAGACGACGAGGCGGGTTCGCGAGCTGAGTTGCAGCAGTGAGGTCCTCATTGTGGCTACGATGGAGCGGAAGTCTTGTGTTCAGATGGTTTGTCGTGCTTCAATAATGGAGGCGCATTGAAGTTGGTCAAGCTTGAAAGTGTGAATGACGTAGCCAGAGAGCAGCCAATTTCAGTCCATTGGATCCTCCCGCAGTGCTGCCATGTTGCTGGCCATTCATCCAGTCTTTGCTTCTCTTTCGCGATAAATCGATGAGCACAGATCTTCTAATGATATCCTCATAACATACCATCGCAATGCGAGGCTCCAAAGCCATCTTCTCCACTGGCTCCCAAGACTCTGTGCCGCCTTCACAGCAGCGCCAACTTGCTCTCGATCAACATATCCTTCCTCTCCACCCAGTCTACTCTTTCACCCAAACGCCTTCACCTCCTCCCCCTTCTTCCCCCTTGACGGCAAAGCCATCAAATCATCTTCTCGTTCAACTTTCCTCATCAGAATATAAGAGCTATTCCTCAGCTCAAGAGTATGTTTCCCGCAAACACGCGTCCTACTCTGTTCCTCAAGCACTTTGATCTCTCCGCAGCGTGATTCACAGTATCGTATAGGCCTAGTTTCCCTTTGGCACCCACAGCCTTCGAAAGCTGGGCCGGCTTGCCAGCACATTTTGGGACCAAGTCCTTTTTGCTGCTCAGCTCGTTGAAAAGAGATCGGTCATGCAGGGGTACGGAGGTTGTTTTGCCCGCTCCTTCTTCGCGAAGATGATGGGATCGAGAGCTTAAAGGTATATGAACGTTGGCCAGATCCAGCTCGTTGAGCAGTAGTAATGCGCGAGAAAGCACGCACGCAAAGGAGGCCAGGAGGGCGCGCGCAAGGCCACCAGCCCAGCAGTGGCAATGCTTTCCTCTCCACTAAAGCAAATGATCACTAGTCTGTGTTAAAGGCTGCATGGTACAAAGCTGATGGCAGTGCCCACCTTCGGCAATATCGTGAGCGCGGAATGCTGGGCGCCGTGCGTATGCAAGGCATACCGACCTTCATTGTTCTTCGATCGGAAACGTCCCTTTGTCCTGCGAATTGTTGAGTAGCAGTCTTCAACGCAGCAGTAGACACAAGGAAAAGAAAGTAGATAGACCAGCTCATATTTTTTGTGCAAACTCTATCATACAAGCCAGCCCAGATTTCACGACGGCAGCACGACTATCCAAGAAGTCGGCCTCATCGCAAGCGCACATCTCGAAGATTTCCTAAGCTAGCCCGTAACCCAATCTCAAAGATCAACCCATCACCATATGCAAGACTCAATTTTTCTTTTGTTACAGGCCAATTGCCATCTCGTTATCGTGCCATAAAAAGTTTGCTCGTATGATGATCGCCTCGCCCGTATGTCGTCGTAAACAAATGAAAAAAAAAGGTACTTTGAAGAGATTTTGGTGTGTGTGTGTGAAGTAAACCAAGGTGTTGCGCCGAAGATGGAAGCATTTGGTCGGTGGTGGTACAGGATCATCAGTGAGATGTCCGCAGCGCGCCGTCTGCATGCAAGATCTTGACCGGGAAATGCTGGGCTCTGGACCACCGCGCCGGGTGTCAGATCTGTCGAAGTAAAAGTGACACGTCTGTATCTCGTCAAAGTACATGTCGGCCGTTTCGATGTCGTAGCTCGTGCTGAAAAGGAAGGGTGTGCGAGCTTGCGTGATGTCGTGATGGTACCTGACAGCGCTCTGTCAAAGCACAAGGGGGATCATAGTCGCACCGCGATACTGATACAGGTGTGTGGTCGAGCTCGAAGTGTTGAAGGGAGCGGTAGCACTGCCGCTCAGAAGTGGCCGTAAGGTTGCTGGGCGCCCGGAGCGACGAAACCAGGGCCGGCGAAGCCATTGGCGAAGGCGGGTGGGCCGTTGAACATGTAGGGGTTCTGGGCGCCACGCTGCGGAGACGGAGAGGCGATGCCTTCACCGTGCAAGCCGTTGGCAGCATAGTTGCCGCCATCGAAGCCAGCACCGCCAAAGGGAGAGCTGCTGTTAGCCCACTGAGCAGGAGCACCGATCATGCCGTGACGGTTGGCGCGGGTTGGCGTGCGCTGAGTGGAGTTGTACGATGGACCACCAGAAGGAACGGACGCAGAGTCGAGTGGAGACAGAATCGATGGCGCGGGGTTGGCCATGCGGTTGTGGTAGTCGTTGAGCTTGCTGGCGATGCGGCGGCCATGAGGCGTGTTTCGAATGCCTGGAATGATCTGGCGAATGTTCTCGTACAGAAGAGCCTTCATCTCGTCGTCGGCAAAATCCATGGCGGTCTGAACAACGTAGTTGGCGAAGCCGTCACGAAGCAACTTCTCGAGGATCTGAGTGTTCAGGATCTCGCGGATGAGGTCGCGGCGAGTCTCGTTGCTGGAGCATCGAATGCACTTCTCGATCACATTTGAGCTGAACTTCTGCTTGGAGAGAGCTGGAATCTCGCCGTAGAAGGCACGGCAAAGTGGCTCGGTGAAGCACGGCTCAGCCAGATCGAGAATGTATTGCACCACATAATTGCCGAAAGGATCTTGGACCAGAGAATAAGCGTTGCGAATGACATGGTCAACCATCTGGCCCTTCTGAAGACCATCAGCGTGATCGATGCAGCGCTGAAGAACACAGCAGCCGTGACGGTGAGTGCCAACAGTGATGCAGTTTGCCCCAACAGCATCAAAGATGAAGGACGCATCGATGGAAGAGAGGTGGTTGAGACACTTCTGAATGACGTGGTTGCCGTTGAGGTCTTGGATGAGAAGGACAACATCGTTGCCTAGAGCCTTGATGATGAGCTGGATCTGCTCAGGAGTGGAGATGTACTCGATCATCTTTTGCAAAGCACGAGTGCCGTGTTGGTTGAGTGCAATCTTGGTCATAGCAGGCGAAGCGTTCTCAATCAGGACGGTGCGCTGGTCATCGTTGGCGCTCTCGAGCAGCTTCTGGCACAGGTAGTTACCGAAAGGGTCGACCATGAGCTCGATCATGTGGTCTTTGACCTCGTCGAAGATGATCTGGACGGTCTTCTCATTGCGCTCCTCTAGCTTTCTCTGAAGAAAGCGGCAACCGTGTTGGTCTTTGCACAAGCCATAGATCTCGCCCGTGAGCTGCTCAACCTTGACTGAGTTGTACTTGGCCTGAGCCTCGTCGGCGGCTTGCTTGCGCTGCTGCTGAGTGCTGCGCGAGTTGTTGTGGTGATGATTGCTGCCGCCCTCGAAGCGACCGGCACCTGCAGCGGCTTGACCGTTTGGTGGGAACTGTTGAAAGCCCCCGTAACCACCTTGCTGACCGTATGGGCTGTTGAATTGGTTGCCCCACTGGCCTGGAGGAGGGAAACCATTGCCATTGAGGCCCATGTTGCCGAAGCCGTTGCTCAACATCTGCATGCCGTAACCGCCGTAGTAGGCAGCAGGCTGGGCAGCGTATGGAGCCACGTTGGGGCTGGTATAGGACTGGTTGTGATCGGAAGGAATGCTGAAAGGAGCGGCGCTGGCGTGAAGCGTTGGCTGAGGACCGTTGAAGTCGTCGCGGTTGTCTTCTTGGGAGCCGTGGGTGGCGTAGTCTTGACTCTGGCGGTTGGCAGCTGAAAGGAGGCTCTGGAGCGTAGTAGCGCGGTTCTGGTCAGGCGATGTGGTTGCGTTGGCAAGAGCGGCTTGCTGGTTTGGTGGGGAGAGGACGGAAACGCCGCCTTCGTGAGTGTCACCGTTGATGCTCTTGAGGGTAGGAATATCGTTGGTGGAGTAAGAGGACTGTGGCATGGCGGAACCGTTTGCGTGACCACGAGGCGGTGTGGCCAGGAGCGCTGGGCGCTTGGTCTCGGCAGTGAACTTGACCTCCATGGAGCGCCGGTTGTTGGAAGGACGCAGGTCGTTTGCGTTGGCCAGGATGCTGTTCAGTGGAGCAATATTCGCGCTACCACTCAAAGCGGACGGCGGAAGTGAGATGCGGTGACGGTTAGCCGACGCGCGCTCGGCAACGTGCGTTGGTTCTGCTTCTGAGGTAGACGAAGCAAGGTCAAGGGCTGCTGAAGATGGAGAAAACTGCAGGTCGCCGTTTTCTTCGCGGCGAATGAGTTTGGGAAAGCCGTCAGCAGTGTGTTGTACTTGCAGATAGGTCTTGCCGTCAGGAGGCGATGTCTGGTTGGACTTTGGTAATGAGGTCAATTTGTCGTCGTCGTGGAACAAGAAGCCGGTAGTGTTAACAGGCCCAAACACGAGGTCGGTTGTGTTGCGTTTGCTGCGATCGTAGGCGGTGATGGGCATGGAATTGCGGTTCGGACTGATGTTGAAAGAAGGTCAGTTCAGGTCGAAGAAAGGAGCCTTCAAGTACTGTTCGTGCGGGTCATTGCAAGTGCTCGGAAGAGGTTGGTGTTATTGTTACAATGATTCTGATTGTGATAAAATGTGATGATTGTCGAGGTGGGGCTGCGTATTGTGCAAAACGACAATAGGTCAAGGTCAAGTGAAAGCATAGGCAGCTGTGAAACGTGCCAAGAAAATGGAGCATGCACAACTCATGCACGCATGTGACGAATGCAGCAGGGTCATATGGCAGAAGGTGAGGGTTCGTGTTCACTTACTTTGCGCCCGCACGATGGATCGTGTTCTCGAAGCCGTACACAAAGCCGCCGTCTTCTTCCTCGTCGTCAGACTGTCGACGCGAGCCAGGAACCGAATGAGAAGGCAAGTTGCTGGAGCTCGTGGCCGTGAAGGGTCGTGCAAAGCCAACAGGAGGCGATGTGAGCTGCGTGCTGGCGCGATTCGGGCGTGTCACAATGCCGGGAGGTGAGATCAAGCTTGCTGCCGAATAGCGGTTCGGTCTCGAAAAGTTGTTTGCGAACGCAGTCTGATACTCTGGCGGTGTTGTAGGTTCACTCTGCGCGAACAGTTGTGTAACTGACTGCTCGTGGCGAATATTCTCGTCGACCTCGCGGCGGGTCTCGGCATCGACCTTCTCCAGCTCTTCTTGAATTTTGCGCTGGGCCTGGAGGAGCGTTTCGTAGTGGCGTGCTGCACGCTCGGACTATCCAACGATCAGCAAACGGCTCCGACAGCCTCGTACCGCATGGCATTTCCCCAAGCAACGATTCATTCTTCGACAGGCAGACGCCAAACGCATGGCGATGCCAAACGCCGAGGAAGCCAGTCGGAAGGCGTGTGGGCGGGTGCCAGCGGACAGTTACGCCTGAGGACGCTGCAATGGCTGGAGAGCTTACCGGAGTCATTCTGTTCTGCGCTGTGGACTGTTTGATCCTCATTAGCGAACGTTCTCGCACCAAACGCCATTCCCGTGTCAGGTTGGTATATCCAACACAGAGTAAGCCTCCGCACCACAGCCATGACTTCCAACCTCATGCTTCAGCTCTTGGCTCAGCGGCCCAGCGAACGTCGGACGGACGTTCAATGCTAGGCAACTGCTGGAGCGTGGCAGGCGCGACTGTACGTGCCATTGCATAGCCCAGATCTCGCTGGACGCTCCACACCGTGTGTGCCTCATGCTCTCGTCTCTTATACTTCTGCTCTGCCCGGTCTGTGCAATACATGCTCGGGAGTTCTTCGTGACTTACCACCTGCATGTCTCCCATAGCCTGTCTACGCTGTTGCCCGATTGGCGACAGCGTGGGCACTGTGTTTGTCGTGAATCTTCTGGTCAATGCTCCTCGCACGTCGTTGGTCGTGGCCATGTTGGCGGACCATCGGTTCGGATTGCGCTGCGACGGCGGAGACAAAGGGTTCGTGTACTGCTGCTCGTCTCGAGGCGATTGCGCACCACGGAAGTACGCCATCTGGACAAACGACATGTTAGCACGGCAGCGCCCAATGGCGGTCCGACGCAGGTTTGCGGGAGGTGGGAGCAGGACGGGCGTCGTACCTTGGAGGCAGACTATAGCGTCACAGCCGCCCACGAGCTGGCGGCGCGAGCAGATGCGAGGGCTCTCTACTGGTCCGGACAAGGAATGTGCGTATGCTACACTTTAGAGACAGACATAAAGGATGCTCGCAGCGAGGAGGAGAGGAGGAGGGAGGATGGTAGGATCGTGCAGTAGCAGCGTGGTCGTCGGAACTTCAGTAGTCCAGAAGTGTGCTATGCACTGTGGGGCCAAGGGAGTCGCTCTGCTGGCGTTGAATCTCGCGCGCTGGGCCGACTAGTTAGGCAAGATCCGCGCGCGCTTCTCCCGCCAGTGTCAGTCGCAGGCTCGAGAGCAGCGCAATCCACGACCACGGCAGCCGTGCGAAGTTGGGCGAATTTGGGAGAGGCCAGCGTGCCTTGCCCATCAGCAGCGAGGCGTCAGGACTCAGGACCCTTTTGCTGCCCTCCGCCCACCACGCCAGCTAGGCCGACCGCACCCCAGTCGTCCATCTGCACGCTGTTTCACGAGCGGCTTGTTTCATCGCGGCCAACATCCTCGTGCCCAAAGCCACTGCCGCGATTGCGACTTTGCCCGCCCGCGCGCAGATTATCCAGCATCGCCCGCGCTAATTAGTAGCTCGTTGCCCGGCTGGACGACCATAAGAAAGCGCTCTGCCGGCCTGGATGCTGTGACCGTGGGTCCGCACAGCTCTAGCAAGAGGCAATTCTGCCCAAGCCCGATCTGACGTCTGAGTAGCGGTCTGTCTGCACGACGCTGCCACGGTCTGAGTCATCGTTACCAGCGCCCGCTCTCTGGCTGCTCGCTACCACAATTCGCAGCATGCCACGAGGACGAGGAACGGCCTGACTGTTGCCCTTCCTCACGGCTGCTCGGGCTAGTACCTGCATGCAAGAACATGGGGTCCCGAACTCAATGTACACCAATTTATTAGCGCCACGTTGTGCGGCAGAATTTCGAGCGGACATCCAGAATTTCCCTGACCCGTTCTTCGGCAGACAGACGCAGAAGTCCCACCGTAGTAGGAGAAAGCAGTACTGCAGAGAGAAGATATACGCTTGCGGAGGGGCTGTAGAAAACGTCTGTGCTGTGCTGCCCTTTTTTGTCTGTGCAGTTCAGATGCAGGCGCTGATCGCACTCATTATAATGCTTGGATGCACTCGAACTTCAGCCGTAGACATGTCCTCCACAACCTTGTGATTAATGCGGCACAATCAATATTGTGGTCTTTCGAAATGATGGCAGTGCCGATGCCACTTCCTATGCTGCCGTTGTTGCGATTCAAAACCGCCACTTTGGCGCCTCAGGCATCCAAGCTAGTGAGCACTAGTTGAACTTTGGCGATCCCAGTCAACTCGACTGGCATTTTGGAACGACAACCCGACATCACAATTTCAGTCTGGAAGGAGCGACCATCAAAAGCCTGCGTCACGGTAATGCAGCATGCCTCCGAGGGCGAAGAAGGCTGCAGGGCCAACGGCGGTCAATAGCAGCGCTTCGAAGGTATCACCGCCACCCGTTGCGATGTACAGAAAAAAGAGGCCAAGCTGACTGTGCATATGAAGCCAGCCGCGCCCAAAGCTCCACCGAAGAAGAAGCCAACGACAGCTGCAGCTCCAAAGCCCACAGATGAAGGTCAAACTGCGCCAGCATCGACTGCGGCGCCGAACTCGAGGGGGACAGCCAATCGCCCTGCGAAGAAACATGCAGCGGCAGATGACCTCGATGCCTTATTGCGGCCGTTCTATTACAGCAAGTCCTTGACTGACCCGATCAATACCGCTCGAGACAAATGGAATCTTCTGCCCGCATTCCTGCGGGTAAAGGGGCTCATCAAGCAACACACAGATTCATTCGATTATTTCATCGATGTTGAGCTGAAGAAGATCATCAAGGCCAATGAGCAGATCATTTCAGACAATCCCAAAAAATGGATCAAATTCACCGACATCCGCGTAGGAAAGCCATGTCGTGTCGAGGATGCACGTGCAGGCTATGTGCAGACCGAGGTCACACCCAACGAGTGTCGGTTACGAGACATGACCTACTCCGCACCCATCTATGCCGACTTTGTTTACCCCCGACAGTCTGGCAATGTTCGCAAGACTGATGTCCTCATTGGACGCGTTCCGATGATGCTACGGAGCTCGAGGTGTGTGCTCAACGGTCGATCTGAGGCCGAAATGTCGTGGCTGAACGAATGTGCGGTCGACCCGGGTGGATATTTCATTGTTCGCGGGCAAGAAAAGGTTATCCTGGTGCAAGAACAGTTGAGCAAAAACCGAGTGATCGTGGAATCGTTCAAGGGTGTCATCCAGGCTTCGGTCACCAGTCACACAGCCAACATCAAAACGAAAACCTACGTGTTGCTCAAGAAAGGTCACCTTTATCTGAAGCACAACTCTCTGACTGAGGACATTCCGGTTGCGATCATGATGCGTGCTATGGGCGTGCAATCTGATCACGAGATCTTGCTGCTCGCTGCCGGAAACGATGCCCAGTATCAGGACGAATTTGCACCCAATCTCGAATTGGCCGCGCTGGAAGGAGTATTTACTCAAGAACAGGCGTTGGATTACATTGCTAGCCGACTCAAGCCAGATCGATTTGGGAACAGAAACAAAACCGACAAGACACCGAAACAGCAAGCGCTCGAAAAGATCGCTGGTACCATCATTCCTCATGTAGAGGTCGAGGGGCTGAATTTCCGTCCGAAAGCCCTGTATGTGGCACACATGACGAGGCGAGTTCTCATGGCGATGAACGATCCCAAGCTGGTCGATGACCGTGATTACGTGGGAAATAAGCGCCTGGAATTGGCTGGCCAGATGTTGGCGCTCCTGTTTGAGGATCTGTTCAAGGATTGCATGCGTCAAATCAAGAGCACAATGGACAAAGTGCTTAAGAAGCAAAATCCAACAGCTGAATTTGACCCCGTTAGGATCGTGGAACAGATTGAGTCTCGAATCACAAGCGGAATGGAGCGTGCGATCTCTACCGGAAACTGGACATTGAAGCGATTCCGCATGGATCGCGCTGGAGTCACGCACGTTCTCAGCAGACTGAGTTATATCAGTGCCCTGGGCATGATGACTCGTATATCGTCACAATTTGAGAAGACCCGAAAGGTTTCTGGTCCGCGTGCTCTTCAGCCTTCACAATTTGGCATGCTGTGCACGTCGGACACACCCGAAGGAGAAGCATGTGGTCTCGTCAAGAACTTGGCACTCATGACACACATCACAACTGCGGATGATGAAGGACCCGTACGAAAGATGATGTATGTGCTAGGAGCAGAAGATGTCACATCCGCGTCCGGGACGGAGATCTACGGCGCTGGCGCATACATCATCTTCATCAATGGCACACCAGCTGCACTAACCAGACAGCCGAAGCAATTCTTGCTGGGCTTCCGGAAGTTCAGACGTATGGGTCGTATATCTGAGTTCGTCAGTATCTTCATCAATCACCATCACAACGGCGTACATATCGCCACCGACGAAGGCCGTGTATGTCGACCATTGATCGTGGTCGAAAAGGCCAAGTCAAAGGTCACAACACGCTTTCTGGAATCATTACGGAAAGGCACCATGGACTTTGACGATGCTCTGTCCCGTGGTATAGTGGAATACCTCGATGTCAACGAAGAGAACGACTCGAACATCGCCGTCTACGAGAAGGACATCACCCACGAGCATACCCATTTGGAAATCGAGCCCTTTACCATACTTGGTGCGGTTGCAGGCTTGATTCCATACCCTCATCACAACCAATCGCCCAGAAACACCTATCAAGTAAGTGGTCTTTCCCTCATTTCATTGCCCTGACATTTTGCTGGATACTCTCCATCGTTGCCTTTGAGTCTTGGCCGGTCAAGGAAGCATTGCACGCGGTTTCGTGCTTCGCGCCACGAAAATGATATGACATCTGTACTGACATTTCGCAGTGTGCTATGGGTAAGCAAGCTATCGGAGCTATTGCTTACAATCAATTTACACGAATCGACACCCTGCTCTACCTCATGGTGTATCCTCAGAAGCCCATGTGCACGACGAGAACCATCGAATTGGTCAAGTACGACAAACTCCCCGCTGGACAGAATGCAGTCGTGGCAGTCATGTCGTATTCAGGTTACGATATCGAGGATGCCCTCGTTTTGAACAAAGCCTCCTGCGATCGGGGCTTCGGACGTTGTCAAGTGTTCAAGAAAGTAAGCATGCCACTCAAAGCCTACCAAAACAACTTCCAGGACCGTCTCGCGGATCGCGACCCGAACAATCCTCGCCACCGCAAGATTGGCAAAGACGGCCTGGTCGAAGTCGGCTCAGAGCTCGAAAACGGCGACTTTTACATGCTCAAAGAATCACCAATGAACCAAGTCACAATGGTCGACCGCAGTCAACAACGATGGTCTCCAGCCTACATGTCCTACAAGCTCCCTGACCCTTGCTACGCCGACAAAGTCGTCATCACCGCCAACGAAGCAAACACCACAATCCTCAAAATCCAAACCCGCCAAACCCGCCGCCCAGAAATCGGCGACAAATTCTCCTCTCGCCACGGGCAAAAAGGTGTCGTAGGCCTCCTCGCCGAACAAGCCGACATGCCCTTCTCAGATCAAGGCGTCGTCCCAGACATCATCATGAACCCCCACGGTTTCCCATCCCGTATGACAGTCGGCAAAATGCTCGAACTCGTCTCCGGAAAAGCAGGAGTCCTAGCAGGAAAACAAGAATACGGCACACCTTTTGGCGGCAGCAAAGTCGAAGATATGGGTGCTGTTCTCATCAAACACGGCTTCTCCTACTCTGGCAAAGACACCTTAACATCCGGCATCACAGGCGAATCTCTCCCCTTCTATGTCTTCTTTGGTCCAATCTACTACCAAAAACTCAAACACATGGTGCAAGACAAAATGCACTCGCGATCGACCGGTCCTCGAGCCATTTTGACGCGTCAGCCTACCGAAGGTCGTTCGAGACAAGGTGGTCTGCGTCTGGGAGAAATGGAACGTGATTGTCTGATTGCGTACGGCGCGAGTCAATTGCTACTGGAGAGATTGATGATTTCTTCGGATGCTCACGAGGTTGATGTGTGTCAGAATTGCGGCATGATGGGTTACAATAACTGGTGTCAGAGCTGCACGAGTAGTCGTTCCGTGGTGAGGATGACAATGCCGTATGCCGCGAAGCTGCTGATCCAGGAGTTGATGAGTATGAATGTGAAGGCGAGCTTGCAGCTTGCTGATGAGTTCCCGCGCGAGGAATAGCGGGTGCGTTCACCGCAGGAGAGGACAAAAGTCGGAATGATCAAAGTTCCAGAACAAAATGCCGTGTAGCAGAAGTCGAATTGGGCTTGAATAGAGCTCAAGTACTGTAGAATATGCGTAGCTCGTCTGCACAGTAATGCACCGACTTCATCACGTTCATCCTATTTGACACATTCTTTACCCAACTTTCGATCTACTTCGGCGCCCCGCATACTCAATGGAGCGAAAGGATAAGCAAAACCTGCTACTAGAAAGCCGCCTGGCCTTCCGACTCTCCATTCAAGGTGCGAAGGGCCTGCTCTGCGAGTTCGCTTCTCAGCCCAGCAACTTCAAGCTCCCTCTGTCCCTTGTCCCAGTCTCGCATGCTTCGACGATTGCGCAGCTCTTTCTCCTCAAGCTGTCGTCTCAGCTTCTCGGCTTCTTCTTCCAGTTTCTTAAGTTTCGACCTGTCGACGACGGGTTCAGCGCGTTGGCCCCCTTCAATGATCTTCGGAAGCTCTGCAATGGCTGGATGAACCCGATTTGCCGCAGGAGCGGTGATCATGCCAGCTTCGTTTGGTCGACGAGCGCCTTTAGGACCGGTCGGAATGTCAGACATGATCGCATCACTATTTCCAGTGCCATTGGCTACGCTGCCGAAGCGTTGTGTGCGTGAATATGGGTTGGTGGAACTCACACTCGATTGTCGGGGAAAGGCAGGCGGCTGGCCTCCGGAAAAAGAGCTCCTAGGTCCAGATGGAGGTTGACCACTTGGCACAGCCGCTGCCGGTCCAGTTGGAGGGCTGAAAACCTGCTCAGATACGCTGCGAGGTGCAACATGACCTGCTTCACCTCCTCCTCTGCTGAAGCCAACGTCTCCTCCGCCTCGACCAAACCCTCCATCTGCACCGCCACGACCGAAGCCACCTCCGCGAGCTCCTCGGAAACTGCCACCAAATCCTCCACGCCCTCTTGGAGCGAAATCACCTCCACCAAAGCCTCCTCTCCCTCGCGGCGCAAAGTCACCCCTAGCAGCTGGTGCTCCACGCGGGCCCGATGGTGGTCCGGCTGCGGCACGAGGTCCGGAGGGGGCGCCAACAGTAGCAGAAGGTCCGGTAGGGGGCGCCATCGTCGCAGGCGTGCGTTGGCTACTGGGCCCAGTGGGAGGGGTCCGAGTGGGGAGCGAAGACTCTTCATCGCGACGTGGTTCTCTTGGAGGTGGGATCTCGCGCTCTCTCTCGTAGGCGCGGTCAGAGTATTCCAGATCTCTAGTCTGAGGAGTGTGGTGCCCTCGTGGAGGCTCGTGGTCGGACGCACGATACGGTTCTCGCGTATCATAGGGATCGAGAGGAGAGGCCCTGTTAAGTGGTGCCCTTTCCTCGTTCGGGAGGTGGCTCAACCTGCTGGGATGTATCGGAGGAGGGGACGACCTCCGTGAAGTGGTTCCGGAGTTGACACCGGGGTCGTCGCGATAAGCATGGTCTTGACGAGGAGCGGGCGAACGCTGCGGGCGTCGCCAGTTATCGACAGTCCTAGGATCGACACCCCTCTCGTTCCTTGCGAGCGGCGATCGAGAGCGCAGCCTATAGTCTCTCGTGGCACCCCTCACACTAGGCGAATACCCTCTGCGATCTCGAGGATCCGGTGAGTACCTCCTTCGTGGAGGACTAGCAGCTCGAGATGGTGGATAGTCATCGTAACGAGGTCGCACAGGGCTTGCTAAACGTTCGCGCTTCATAGGCGGAGGCGATCGCCGACCTCTACTAGAAATGGGCGATGGGTCTCTTGCCCTCTTCAGCGGCAACGGGCTGCGATCTCGATAGCGTGGCAGCGGCGACCGGCCAGGAGCGACGTAAGGTCTAGTGTCTCGCTCGTCTCTGTAATCGCGCGCATCTCTGTAGTCTCGGTCGTCTCTTGCAGGCTCTCTCCGAAACAAGTCATCTCTCGGCAAGTCTTCTCTTCTTGCAGGCAACGGCGATCGTGGCCGACCTCGATAGCTGTCCCCGCCGCGCGGCACCCGGTCATCACGGAATCGGGCTGGCGAGGGCGATCGACGGCGATAGGTGTCGTCTCGTCGCGGAGGAAGGCGGTCGTCGTCTCGGCGGGCAGGTACTCGGTCGTCGTCTCTTCGCAACGGCAGGCGGTCATCGTCTCGCCTCAGGGGAGGACTGCGACTGCGACCTCGAGGTGCGCGGTAGGTATCTGCTTTGTAGGAGTCGTGATAGTCGTTGCGCCGCGGTGGTGATCGAGCGCGGTAGCTGTCTCCGCCTAGTCGAGAGGGCGGCGTGCGTTCGCGGACATTGCCAGGACGATAGGATTGCCCTCGCCCAGTGCCATACTGGTCCTCAGGCGGAATGTCTGCGCGTCTGTACATTGCGCGTCAGCTGTGCAATGCGCGTATGTCTCGAAATCGTTGTCTCCTCCAAGTTGCGATGCTGCAAACAGCGAGAATGGCATCAGGAGACGCGTTCCTCTGTGTGCAGTTGCAGGCGGTGTGCAGAGATTGTTTGGCCGACTCAATTCGCTCACACTACTCACCTCCTGTCACGGTCCATGACTGCAGCGACAAGCGATAGAACTGTCGGCAAAAGATGCAGTGAATGAAGCTGATGCTGCTGGCAACTGAAGCTCTCGCCAAATCTTAACCCCAAAGCAAAGTCAGCAGTCGGGATGCCGCGCCAAGACCTCCCCAGCTCCGACGCATCACGGACTTTGGGTCATCAGACTCCCGTAGAGAAGTAATCCATATCGATTTCGCAGTCATTCGCAGTGGTTTCGGTTGTTTCGATGCTCCCACATTCGTCCAACGCTCGTGCTATGCTCACTGCTGTCTTTCCCATCCTGTCCAGCCGTCGCCTCTCCACTGAGTATGTATAATGCCACGCCAAGTACCACTTTTTCTACCCTGTGTGAAGTCCTCCTGGCTTTGCTTTTCAACATCATATACACTTCCACCTCTGCCGAATCGAGTCTCCACTGATCAACGGGTACCCTTTTGGTTCAAATTTCCTCTTCGCCTGCGCAGCATTACCGTCCTCTGCCTCTCTGTGCTCGCTCCTTCTCCCGCTTCTGTCTCTTCGCACTCTCCTCCGCCACAAGCCCGCTCAGATCCTCCCCTGCGGCTCCACCCTGCCATCCACTCTGTTCCGCCCTCTGAGCCTCGTACATCTTCTGCAAATCCTCCTTGGTCATTTTGCCATCTCTGACCAGTGCTTCCACGTCCATTGACACATCTACGTCGCCAGCCTTTCTCTTGTTGCCGCGTTGCTCCTGTCCAAGCACAGGTACATTGGATGGAGGACCTGACTTACCGGAAAGATCATACGCACGTTCTCCGCCAAAGAATCCTTCCGCGCGAATGGATCGCTCGTTCAATACAGTTCCAGCCGACCGCGGATGGCTCGATGCCTCTGTTTCTGTACCGAATCGCTGCTTGCGTAATGTCACATCGTCGACGCCACGTGGGAAGTCGGTAGGCACTGTGCTCGTAAAGCCGCCCGGAGTTTCCGTTCCACCAAAGGGTGTTTCAAGACCCGTGCGCGTACCAGACTCGTCCTCGTTCTCATCTTCCTCCTCCTCGTCTTCGTCCTCTTCTTCTTCTTCCTCTTCATCGTCAGCTGGCGGCTGCAGCTCACCCCACAACGACTTGTCCACTGGCTCCACGGCTCCGCCAGCCTTGTCTTTGTCCTCCTTCAGTTCTGAAAGCCCAAACACATCGCCTCCGAACAAGGGCCGGTTCTCGTCATCGACCGGCGGCTTTCCGTAACCTCCTGGATGAAAGCCCCATGACGCTCCTGGAGGTGGTGGCGCATTGAGTCCCGCAATCTTCAGCGCAGGATATGAGGGCGGTGGTCCGATCTTCTGCTGATTTATGAGCCACGGCGGCGGTGAGGCAGGCGGCATGTTCAGTGCTTCCTTGAGCTCTTCGCTGAGCTCTCCAGGTCGCAGGTGCCTCAAGTTTGTTTCAAACTCTTTCCCCTCATAGTACACCTCGCCGTATCGCGTGAGTGACGGCTTCGTCTGTCTTCGGAAGAACGCTTCGTAGAGTTTCTGGTAATCAATATCGAGCTTGCCCGTTTTACCAGACACGCGCTCTCTCGCCTTTTGCTTTAGCGTTGCCTCTGCCTGCTTCTCAAGGACAGCGTCGCGCATTTCCGAGATGCCGGTCTCCGCAATGAATTTTGGCAGCGCAAAACCCGCCTTTTCGATACCTCGCTTGCTGCTCAGGTACTCCCTCTTCAAACTCCAGTGTGATGGGACAGGTACGACGTTCCGGGCACTCTTGATGTTGACGAGTAATCGCGGATCTTGTGCTGATGTGTCGGTCCACTCCACGATTTCCGGCTTCCGCACAATCGCTTTCAGCTCAGCAATACTCAGCTTGTTAGCAGCTTTCCGCGCTTTCTTTGATAATCGCTGCTTCGTCTCCTCTTCCTCGTCCTCATCTTGGATATTGTCATCGTCATCATAGAATACTTCTGGCTTCTCTGGCTCTTTCAGCGCCGGATCCTCCTTGTTCTCCTCTTTGAACTTTGCAAAGATGTCGGCGAACTGCGAGTACAGCGGGTCGTCGATTGGGAGATCATCCTGCGGCTCAATCGCTGGCACGTTTTGTATCGGGTCATCGTCAGCGGGGGCTACCGGCTGTGCGGGCTCGGTGGTCTCTGAGCGGCCAGCAAGCGCTGCATCTCCTGCGGGCGCTGGGGTTTCCGAAACCTGCGCTTCCGTCAATACGCTGATCCTCGTGCCTTTCAGAGCTTTACTGACCTCGCGCTTCTGCTGTTTCTTCTTCGCTCGTCGCTGCTCATTTTTGGTTGGCTTGCGCGCCTTGGTTGCAGGTTGGCTTTCGACTATCACGCCGGGCATGATGGCCTACCTTGACTGACTCCTGTGATGCGCCCCGTCAATGTGCCCTCGTGCAACTGAGGTGCAGTCAAGAGCCGAGCTCGACGAATGCGAAGGTGATAGGTGGCGCGTAATGAGGTGTATCGAGGTGACGTGCGACGTTGGATGTTCGAAGAAGTGTCTGCCCGCGTCGCTGGAAAGCGCCAAGCATTCGCAAAGGGTTCGCTTCGGACTCACCTCGTTCAACAACTTTCTACATTCACGTTTCGCGATGGTACATGTTACCTGGCTCTCATGCGCTTGAAGGCGCGAGCGACCATAGCATTGATGTATACCATTTCTATATGCTACGAAAGTCGACCGCGACGAGCTGAACTGCGCGAGATCTAGATGTACTCTATCTCGACACTCACCCTCATACATTAAATGCGCGCTGAAGGCCAATCTTCTGCTAATCAGCACATTTTAGAACGGCAACAGGCACTCGAACGGCTGCCCCGCTGGTCTCAATGTACGATCTTTCATGCGCTGCTCTCCTCGTATGCTTCGCACTCCTTGATGTAGCCCATCACCTCGGTATTGATAGCGTTCAGGGCCTCCCCGACCGCCTGCTGAAGACAGTCGACTTCCTTCTTGTGTTTGTCGTCCTTTGATGCTTGCTCTGCTTCCTCCGCTGTCTGAAAGCGGCCCGCAAAATCATCTTTGATCGTCTTGCAGCCTTCTCCGACAGCCTCCTGGACACCTTTCTCCCAGTGCTTCAACCGCTTGAGAAGGTTCTGTCTGGCTTTCTTACTCATTGTGAAGAACACGCTTTCTTCGCCTTCGCCCGACAGCTTCTTGCTGATTGCCTCAACGCGCTTCTTGTGAGGCCGATTTTTGTCGAAAGGCGGCTTCGTGGCTGAGAGACACTCCGTGTTTCCTTGGTGTCTTTGCCGTACAGTTGGTTCGAGAATTGTATGCATGCATCATATGTCTCACGCATTGCTTCGGCCACGTAGTTATCCTTGCCATCAGTTGTCATTGCAGAATTGACGTTCTGGATCATGGAATGAAGCCGATCGCCGTGTATGCAAAGGTCACCCATGAGCTCCTCCTGGACATTGTCGACAACGGTAAAGAACTCCGCAAGATCCATGCCTTGTGCTGAAGGCGATGTTGTTATTTTCATCTTGAATTTCCTGAATGTCCCAGAGACTTTGTCAGGCCAGAGAGCGATTTCTTTGTCAACCTCGTCCAACAAAGTGTCACATGCTTCCGCAAGTTGACTCTGGAAAATATCACATATCAGACTGTTCCAGCTGACAATGTCTTTGGTCTTCGGTGGCTTGTGGAAGCCACCCTTGCGACAGAATGCGGCGAAAGTGGCAGGTTTCATCTTCTCCCACTGAATAGGTCAGGTTAGCATAAACTCCACGAACATGGCGTTGGAATCCAAGCAAAAGCACTTACACGTTTCGCCAGCTTCACACCCTCAGCACACCATATCTTTAGGTTGTTTTTCACTGTTGATCGAATCCCGTCCTCAAAGAATCGTAGAACCTTCTTGACGATGGCAGGAGCTAAGGCGTCGAACAGATGGAGCTGATGCTTGATCTCGTTCCGCAACTCCTCCTTGCGCTCCAGGCTGCTCTTTGTCAGGATGCCTTGAATACCTTTCATACTCTGTATGATGCGGTGCTTCACGATCATTTTCAGAGTAGCAAACTTGCCGCGTGCGGCTATAGTGTATAACGCATGACGCAGGCGTGGCACGCCGGTTGTCTCCACATCCAGCACGGGCGGGTTCGCGATGTTGTAGCCAGCTACGTGTAGCTGGTACTGGGTATTAGAGACAAAGTGAACTCGAAGCGCCGGCGCGGTCTTAGACTTGGTCAGCTGTCGGAATTTCTCCTTCATCACGGTGCCAACTTCGCGACACTGAATCTCAGCAACGACTTCACGAAGGTTCCCCTGTGCCTTGACAATCTCTTGATTGCAAGACCTCAACTGGCCATCCAGCTCCCGGTATTGGTCATTGTCTGTCGCGGCCTGCTTTGAAATCTCCAGTCTCCTCGATTTGGACTGCGCGCGTGCCAACTTATCTTCTGCAGCGCGATATAAGTTGAGATCGGCTTCCTCGAGATCCTGACTCTCATCCTCGGAATACGCCTGTTTCAGGTCTATCTTAGTGACGACCAGGATCGTACTCTGCATTTTGCCCAAGTTGATGCAGTACTTGAGTTGCTGATCCAAAAGCTCATTTTGCGCAATGCGTTCGATACTCGCGAAAACCAAGATCGTCTCCGCATCACTAAGATAGTTTGTTGTGTTTTCGACAACAGTGAGATTCGAGTCACTGACGCCTGGAGTGTCCGCGAGCGCGAGACCAGTGCGAAGAAGGTCGATGTATTGGTGGACTTGTATCTTTGCCACAAGTGGCCATGGAGATGGAGGCTTGACGGTGTTTCGACGCGCTAAGGCCGGCTTCGATACCTCCCTAAATTTCTCGTTGAGATCCTTCTCATCGACACACTCGTAGACCTTTTGATTATCGTGAAGCCCACGAGCACGAATAAAGCCGATGGCGTGTTCGACAAGGTCGTTGGTGAGGTCTTCAGCTTGGTCATCATTGACGTTATTGAAGAAGGCCTTTGTTTTATCCAGAGTTTGAAACTCTGCCCGATCGCGCATTACCGTGTGGAAGAAGTCGACGGCTGTACCCTGCTTCTGGCCCAGTTCATCTGCCTCCTCCTGCTCCTCCCCATCATCGGAGTCTTCGGACTTTTGGAGAAGAATGCCACAGTGACGTCTCACCAGAGACTTCACTGTTTGCTCTGAATGAAACAGGACCAGCACGTAGTATGGTGTCTTCTGCGCGGGATGTGGGCCCAGATATTCGTGCACCACGTAGGTGCCTCGCTCGTGACCACCGTGTTCGATCGCGAGCATTTTCTTGCTCATGATCGAGTTCACCGTCGAGGACTTGGCAACTCCAGCTGCTCCAAGGCACGCAACGGGACCCATGGCTTTATAGTGGTGTGAGAGCACTGCAAGTTCTGCCAGAGTATCGCACACGCGAGAGATTGCTTGATCGTGGTATTTTTTCGCTCGAAGATTTTCATGGGTCCGAATGAACTTCTGGATGATTCTGCCGACGCCGTTCTCTGCTTTGGAAAAGCTGTCGCAGTATACCGCCAAGCGAGGACGTTCCTCCGTGGCGAGGTCGTACGGGCTCACATCGCCAATATCACTGAGGACATACGACTCTGGGTTGCCATTCATACGAGCAGGGCTAGGGAGGATACCGCTTGTCGAAGGTGTGCGCTGTACGGTATGAGGGGCGGAAAGCTCGAACTTGCTTCGCTTACGATCTGTCCCGCACATTAGCAAAGTGACTTGGTCTTCTGCAGGCGGCTATTGATGGGACTTGTTCGGTTGATATGTCGAGTGGTACTCGCCGTCTTCGCCGCGGTCGCCATCTTTCGTATGTTGTTGCTCAAATTGAGCGTTGTCTCGCTTGACGCCACGAGACATGATGTATTGACGCAGAAGCTTGATAGTCGATCAAAAGCCCTTGAGGTTTAGTCGATGTTGTTGACTTCGTGTCAAAATGGTGCGGCGAAAATGTGGTGACAGGAACTCGAAGCCGAACAAACAGCGGAAAGGCGCCTATTGTGGTCAGAACTTGTGTCAAGTGAAGCGTTTCTGCAGGTCCAGTGGTCCCCGTGCTTCTGAGCAGCACCTCGTGCATGTGTGTGCAGCATGTGAAATTGAGCGGCACATGCACGTGAAATTCATCAAGAAGATCGGCCTAATCCAGCATGTCGGTCTTAGCTCCAGCAAAATATTTGAGTAATGAGTGCTTCCTGTGGTATTGTACATTTCATCCTAATGAATGGACTCGTGCAGCGCAGATTGAATATTCCGATATGAACAAACATGCTAGAGCTCCAGCTTTTCGTCAACTTCTCATTTGGCTCTGGCCATCGGACAAAAAAGCAGGTGAGCAGCACGGGCGAACCCGGTCCAAGGAGGAGTCAACAAGCGTGCATCTGAGTCGGTATATCATCATTTCGATGCTGGCGAGCTGTTTGGCAGTGATCATGACGGTACGCAGCCATAGTCCAGGAGCGGCTGTTCGCTGCAAACTTGCCACGTAAACAGGCTCAACTGAGGATTGTCACGCTGCCAGCCGCGCACATGTGCCTGGAATCATTTCTCTCAGCTGAGTCTTGGAGAGTATCATGTGCAAATGACCGTGAACGTAGTCAGTCGCGTTGGTCCGCTACCGTGAGGTTGAAGGTTGGAAGTTGAAGGAACGAGGCTTGGCACAAAACAAAAGTTCCAGAAACGTCGTTCGCGGGAGCTGCGTGATCGGCTACCGACCCATTGCCGGGAGATATACGCAATAGTCTTGACATATTTGCAACACCTTGATGGAATTGACATTCAAGTTCTTCGAGTGGCGTCGTTTCTCTTTCGCATTCGACGACTATTCTCTTTGACTTGGCTAGCTTGCTGACCGAAACTCTGCAGCTCATCACCGCTTCATATGCCAAGTTACCTCGCGGCATGCCCTTGCAGCGAACAAGCCGTGTGCAAGATCATAAGTGCATACGGCTTGCTCATGAATTCTCGTTAAAACGCCATCCGATTGACCTTTTGACCCGCCTAACACCATTTCGTATCCCCAGCCTGCTCTGGCTGATGCATCGATTTCACTCATCTGATCGCCGGTCAAGGTCGTCAATCCAGGAAGGCCGTGGGTTCGTTAAGGTATGTCATGCAAGACAGGTTGCTCCGGGCCACAAACTCGTTGAATCGCTTAGTTGGGGCAGGCAGACTGGACGTGGCCTGGCTGCTTGCAGCGGTAGCAGGTACGCTCGCCACCAGACTGCTCGGATGGGCAGTCACGCGAAAGGTGACCGACTTCGCCGCCTGCAAGAATTAGCTGATGTAGTGCTGCTGGTGAATCACCACATCACTTACAGTTGTAGCACTTCTGGCCTTGGACGCAGTCTCTGCTCAAGTGGCCGTAGCCGCCGCAGGTGTAGCAGGTCTGGCCACCCTGTCCGCCACCGAAACCTCCACGGCCACCGCCGAAGCCTCCACGGCCGCCGCCGTAGCCGCCACCGTACCCATTGCCGCCACCGAATCCACCCTCGGTGCAGTTACGAGCAATGTGACCGACCTTGCCGCACTATAAGGAAATTAGCTCATCGCTGCCGGACATGGAATTTTATGTGAGAGCCTACCTTGTAGCACTCCTGGTCGCCTCCACCGAAGCCTCCCTGGCGAGGGGCAGCGTTTGGGCATTCGCGGCTCATGTGTCCAGTCTCGCCGCACGAGTAGCAGGCCTTGGATATGTCAGCAAGATGTTCAAGACCTGGTCGATGTCACACACCTTGTCCTTAGCAGGCTCAGTGCAGTCGCGCGAAAGGTGGCCTTGACCGCCGCAGTTGTAGCAGGTCTAGAGCTTTGTCAATAAAGTCATCCGCAGGAGATGGGATCGTTTGACATACTGGGTTGCCCTTGTTTGGGCACTCGCGGGCCTGGTGAGACGCATCGCCGCCTGTGCAAAAAGTCAGCACCAAATTTCGAGCCTTGGCGTTCGAAGGCGACGAAAGTGTTTGGGTGGAAATGATTCGAACGCGCGAAGGAGTAGGTCAGGAGCGCGAGAATGATGCAGCCAAACGATGGCGGTCGCTTGGTGGATTGCGACCGTGTCCAATGGCCGGAAAATGGTGGTGCACCTACAGTTGTAGCACGCGCGGCCTCCGCCTGGTGCAGCTCCGAATGAGTTCATGTTGGATGTGCTTCTGTTGTGATTGTTGTGCAGTACTTGCGAAGAAGTGCCTCGTTGACGTCTGTCGAAGGATGTCGATGGACTGAAGGTGGTTGTGAGTTGGAAGAAAGGTCACAGGTCAAATTCAGAGCGAGGGTTCAAGTTTTTGGTGCACTGGCCCACATTCAGCAAGCGAGACGAGAAGCGGTACGCGGCTGAGGCAAATGCTGCATTGATGATCACTTCGAATCCACTGTTGCGAGGCTACAGCTGGCCGCAACTTCACGGCTTCCGGAGGTTAGTCTGCCTGCGTACAAAGATTACTTGAAGCTCGCATGAGCTCGTTACTCTGAAACTGGTGCATTTCTGATCAGCCGAAGGTTTCGGCCCGTGGCTGCCGATCGCGTGGCGATCTACAATGGGGCACGTCCTCAGTTCCAGTCCAGAAGCTGGCAGGAATGCTACCTACTAGCATCTGCAAGCACAAGAGTCACCACTCCTGTCGTTCTGCGAAGGGTGTTGTCATCTCACATCAATTCTATTCTGTATACTGCATATTACGTGAAATCATAGACCACGAGTGCCTGTCCTTGGCTGTATTCTTTCAAGACTACCACGCTCTCTTCGTCAAAGCCTATCCAACCGCGAGACATGGCAACTTCGTCGGCTTCTTCTGACCCATCTCCACAGTCACTTGTGCCACTGACAGGCCGGACGTTGTCGTGCGCTCTCACATGACGTGAAGCGCTAGGTCCTGCGCTTACTTTGACGCTCAGGTTACCATTTGCGAGTCGTTTACGAGCCGTGGACGAAGTGAAGCCTCCTTCGAGCTCCCAAAGACGTATTTCATCGCCCCGCCTGCTGATTGAGACTGCCTTGCCGCGAGATGCCACATGAACTCCAGATACAGCGGAGGTGTGGCCCCATAGTCTAGAACCTGCACTGATTGAGAGCGATTCTGCCGTAGACGTTACAACGTAGAGCGTCAAAGTGTTGTCCGGATGTGACACCAAGAGATAGGGATGAGAGTACGAAAGTGTGAGCGGCTTGGAGTGTATGTGCCTCAGCTCTGCGGCATTTGACGCGGCTGTAGTTCCAGAACTTGACAGACCCAGATGAGAGAGCATGGGCCGACTGGAAAAGGCCAGTGGGCGGTAGTGTTGATCGATGGCCGAGGCAACACGCGAACTAAGGAGGCCTCCCTTTTTGCTCACGTTGACTTCCTGCAGACCGACCGTCCAGCCTGAGAGATAAGTCGGCAGCGCGTATGCCACGCATATAGTCACTGCTGTTGACTGCTGTCTGAGTTGGATTGACAGTGGCGGCCACACTGACTGCGACCGTAAAGAATGTAATAGAATGGGGGGCCTTGGTACTCTGTTGTGCTTTTCTTCCGTTTCAGGTGACACAGCAGATGACTGATCGACTCGTTGTCCGCGAAAGCGATAAAGCGACAGAAGTTGCGTCGCGGTCATGGTGACCACGTACGGCCAGGACATTGCCGTTGCTGTGATGACCCCGGCCGAAGAAGTCTCATGCGTGTAAAGCGAGCTGAACCGTCGTGTGGAGTGATGGAATGCATATATGCCGAAGGATCCGTCTTCAAAGCCTATTGCGAGGCGGGTGGTATCCTTAATTGCGCCATCCTGTTGAACAGCAAGGGATGTAGGTGGACTCGGAGCGCGAAGTCGCATCTGTGCAAAGCCTTCACTGCCGAGGCCAACACTAGCCCATGCTCGCAGCCCATCGTCTTTGTCCACCATGTAGATCACTCCCTCGGCCATTTGCACCAGTATGGGAGGAACAGATGGTCGCTCCGCTATAGCAATCTCGTTGACAGCGCAACTGCCCTTGGCCCAGTTATGGCGCAGCTTGTACTGTCTCCTCCAGTCTGTCGCACCACCACGTTTCACGAGATGGTCATCATCGAGCCATCGCGATGCCTTGGAAGCGAAGTGTAGGCTATCGTCAACTATCCCAAGCTCTTTCAGTCCTGGCAACTTGCTCGCTCGTGGCCGGACGAATCGATTGTAATAGTGCGACTTCCATAGCTGTCCGTCGCCAGCTAACTTTTGATACTTGCGAGATAGTCTGAATGGTCAATATACATTGTCGCGACGACGATTGTATCTGCATCAGGGCGCTCACCTTTGACATGTTGCAAGATGGGGCACGGGAAGGAATGAGAGCACTTTCAAGAGCAGCTCATCACTGAGGGATGACAAGCGGTCTGTGGTAGACGACCGTTGTCTTTTGCAAGCTTGCTGTTGCAGCTTTGGCTCCTCCTCCCGCGCCCGTTTCGCCATGAAGAAGTGGTTCAAACGAAGGTGATATCGATGGTTGCGGCGATCTTGCCCCATGTCTTGGCATAGATGGAGTGGCGTAATTCGGCAGGGATTCACGTGTTCCGTCCCGTTTCCAGGCGCGTCTCAGGCAGCGCGTCATCCGAAGCTACTACCCGTGCCACCGCACCAACTTCGACCTCCATCACTAAGTTCAGTGCCGCATCGTCTATCAGTCAGCACCGTTGGATTGTCCTGGGCACCGAGCGCGACATGTCGGGGCTTCGAGATTGAATAGTGCGAAGTTCTGCTACACGGAATCTGTACTGGCAATGGACTCTAGTCTGGGAAATGGAGCGGGTCAGCGAGAGGCGAAATTGTATGCCATCATAGGGAGAAAGGACTATCAGATCGAGGAGCTGCAAGAGGAGAATGCCGCCTTGCGTGCAAGACTTGATGCTGCGCTGAAGCAGAACGTCCAAAGCAGAAACGCAACAAACGCCACCGGACGCCCATCTGGTCCCGCATCGCCTGAAGCGAGTTCTGGCCCACGCGAGGTATTTGAAGATGTCGACTTAGAGACCCTCCGTCGCGCGCATAGGGAACTGCAATCGAGGCATCAAAATCTCGAGGCTCTACACCGAGCATGTGAGCCCAGAATCAATGCACTCGATGCTAAATGCAAGGACTATAAGAACAAGGTACTCTTGTGGAAGCAGTATATTGACAAGCAAACGAAGGAAGGCCGGATACCACAATCAAAGAATGCCGAAAATGTTCAAAGAGACTCCGCTCCGGCCGAGTGTCAGCCCGTCGATGGTAACCACGCGCGCGCTGCGGATCTGATGCCGCACCAAGAACGTGTACTCGAGAGAACTCATGATCTAGAACAAAGATCGTCCGCGTTGCCCAGTGCGCGTTCGAGTGCAGCACCCTCGAAGAGTCCTGCAAGGGCAGATGTCGACGAGCCAATCCAGACCTGCGAACCGCACACGCGTGCCACCTCCAGCCAGACCACCGTCGAGGAGACACAGCCTCCAGCACGCACTATTGATGAGATTCCGAATAGCAGCGACGATGAACCCGAGTTAGTGTCGGAACGCTGTCTCAAGCGGAAGGCGGGACCTCGAGCTATGAAGCGATCGCCTGCCCGTCGAATAAAGCTGGAGCCGAGATCGCCAGATGGTGCTGTTCTGCTCTCATCTGACCCACCCCTCCCTGGAGATGCAAGATCGCCCAGGATCGCGCCGCTGCAGCTGATGTACTCTGACCTTGATCGTATAGAAGTGCCAAAGGTCACTGATCAGCAGCCGCGAGGCGTCGAGAGCATTCAAGACCGTGCTCGTTCGGTAGAACACTCAAGGCCTGCGCCGCAACTATCCAGGAGCATGTCCTCTCGCTCGGAAGGCAATCTTGACACTCTCGTGAGGGCAGCAGCATTGGTACCCACGACGACAGACCCATCAGAAACACCTTCAAAAGTCGCCGCGAGGGAAGAGTCGAGTACATTCAACAAACAAGCCTTAAGGCCGATCAGTGTCAATGTGCCTCGATCAAACGGTGGCATAAGGAATACTAAGCGCAAGTCAAAAGCCAGTGGGCTCAGAGGGAAGGTTGACATCCTGTCGGAGGACGGCGATGACTCTAGTCAGGTCAACGCGGCTGCCAAAGATACTGGAGCACCGCCCAAGCACCAGGATGATAAGCTCGCTGGCCTGCTTATGGGACTCCCCTCGGACACCACACCCGCCTCATCTCGAAGCGTGAGGAGGTCCGCGCGTCATTCGCAAGTCCGAACTCCAGCACAGCCTCCAACGCCCCTCTCTGGGCTCAAAGCCAAGTCTCCAAGCAAATCACCTTCGAAGCGACTGCTACCTCGTGGAATCGAGCCGCCTCCTCGTTCTCTACAGCCAGAGGAGGAGCCACTGCGTCTGCGAGACGTGAGGACTCTGAGACGTGAAGACTTCAAGGTCAACCCCAAATACCTTGGAACCGACATGGCTTTTGCCGACACGCTTCGAGGGCGCGATGAGCGTAGGAACTTGCACGTCTGCACCAAACCCGACTGTTGTGGCGGCGCAATGCAGAAAGTAATGGCTATGGGCGGGCAGAAACTCACCGGCAAGAGCGATGCTCAGGTTCTCACTGAATACCTAGGCCCTCAGTACAGGCAGATCATGAGCAAGTATGGAACGACAAAGCAGAAGGAGACAGTTCTGCAGGCTTATGCGCATGTGTTCGCGAGGGAACATGGGAAACATCGACAGGCATTTGAGCGTCAAAGCACACCACCTGGATTCTGGAGAACAGATTTTCCGACCACGCAGGAGGATCTTGAAGATCGGCAGAAAGCGCAGGAAGCTGAGAGGCGAGAGGTCGAGGCTCGATACCGTGAGGCCATGAGACCGGGTGGTCAGTACATCTTCAGAGACGAATAGTTGCTTGCTCGAGGTGGTCGATCAACCATGGTCTGTCCCTTGAGAGGCACACGTAGTCCTTACCGCAGTAGACTTGCTACGTAGACGCGATATGACAATGTTCGCATTGTGTTCAGGGTATCTTGATCCATAAAACATCGAAGTTCGTGCCCTTGCAATGACCCGTCCTATACTCCAATCGAAACGCCTCCCTCGTGCCATTCATAGAACGTATCACCTTCCCAAGATTTCCCTTCGTTGCTGCCTCTGCCGTACATTCACGAACAGTCGAACAGATCTTGATACATTGCATTCCATAGCATAAAAGTCATCTCACGTAGGTTATCGCGTTCACTTTGCAAAACTTCCAGAATTGCACCAACGCTCCAAATCTTCAAGCCTCGATCGCAGAGCCTTGACCTCCGTCTTCAATGCTGTGTTTTCCTTGCCCAGTGCACCAATATGTTCGATAGCACCATTCAGAATCTCACATTTGCTCGGTTTGACACCTTCTCCAATGCCGTCGCCAGGCTTGCCAACTCCACCAGCACGCTTTGACGCCAGAGCTGGCACAGTTTGGCGAAGTTTATCAAGATGTGCATTCAAATTTTCTCGATATCGTCGCTCGACAGCAGTGTGAGGGATGCGTTGGCGTTTTCTGCCCCGAGGTTTAGCCTCTTCGGTAGGTACGTATTCTTCGTCCTCGTCTTCGCTGCCCGAGCGTTTGATGGAGGGTGTGCCAGAAGCGTTGGTCAATCTTCTGGTCTTGAGGTCCGAGGCTGCAAGCGCTGTGATTGATCGAATTAAGCTCGGTCGCTCTTCTTTGATCACGACGGGCTCTCCGTAAGAGCTTCGGGGACTCTGAGCGGAAGAATGTGTCCTGTCTTGTCGAGGTGGTAAGTTGAGCGGGTGGTGTACGGTGCCGTGTCGCACAGGATGATAATTGTCAAGCGGCTCACTCGTGGGAAATCCAGCAGTCGAAGGTGTTCCCATCTCCATATCTGACCCCCAGCTGGTCTCTGGTACGTAACCCATCGGTGGCGAGATCAAAGGGCCGCCTTCATGACTGATGTGATGGTCGTCATAGTCGCGCGATTCAGCGTGGAACATCCTGAAGTCTGGGTCGTGCACACTACCGACTGGCAGCCCGCTGTTCTGATGCCAGTGATTGAGACTCATTTGATCGTGTGCGTAATGGCGTCGCCATACTTCGTTCGCGCCTTCAGACATCTGTTCGATTCGCCCGAACGCCAACATTGATGGCAGAGTCGTGGGGAGAATGGCGGTCATGAAGCAGAATTCTCAGAATTGGGTTTCAGCGATACAAGGGTCGGTGTGTTTGAAAAGGTTGAAGTGCGGCTCAACGAGCTCACAAGGTACAGTAAGCGACTTCGAGAAGATCGGAGGAAGGTAGTAATACCTCGAGGGCCAAAGGCAATACATACTGCTTGAGTTTGGACGACGAGGACCCTTCCCTGCTAAGGCTTCTTCGGGCGACAGCGGTAGACCACGAGAGGTCTATTTCGCTGCCAAGGGTACAGGCAAGCCAGCAATCAGAAGGCTAGCGGCCACTTCGGTATTCACTTTGACCTCGCTGGGTGAAGCGAATGCGACCTGCAAGCCCCGAGAAGCACCGCACCTGCAGGTCGAGGTCGTGCTGGACAGTTTCTCAGGGCTAGGCAGTGTTTGGAAATCTTGAGTCCGCCGCGCCGGTCAATGCATGGCCAGAGCAGTCGATGAGAGGAGCCAGATACCATGACTACCCAGTTATTTGGTTGGTTATGCATCGGTATCCGAGCGGTCGAGCTGGATGCTGCGCGTGGCAGCCACATTACCTAGCAGGGCTGATAGCGGAAGCACGTTGGATGATGAAGCACCAATCTCTGGTCTGAGAAACCGCTTGCGAGACGAACCGTGAAAGCTTTGGCCGGATGGAGTATGCAGCGGAGAACCTTGCTAGGCGAAGCAGCAGTAAGCAGCGCCTCATTAGGAGAACTGCACGGCGGCCTCTTTCGTCCATTAACCACATTTGGTGCAATGGCGCCGGCTAGCAAAGAGAGACGAAAGTTTGAGCGACCCTTGCCCCGCACTCTGCTGTCTCACAGCGTGGCTTTTCGTCGTATTCCTCAATGGTGTATAGTGTACTGAGTACATGAAAGTCCCTTGGGTTCTCCGCACTGGCGGTCAGTTGCGAAATGACGGCCGCCCAAGGGTATGATTGGATTGCGATGGAGCCGCATCTGTGAATGCGCCTTACAACAAAAGCGTCCTCAGGCAGTGAAGTTGATCATCCGCACAAAGTTATGTGTATACTGCCTATGTCGCGAGCACAAGCAAAAGAAGATGTGTACTGTATTTCCACACGATTCCCGCGGCGCCAACATTTCTTCGTCTTAGGTAGCTGCGGGGTGAGCATGTCGAGCCCGCCGTTCACAGCGTTGGACCATCCCGCCCAAGCTAATTTAGAGCTCCATGAGCGTTGATAGAGACTTCGCCGTCTTCTTCGATTAGGACATTGTGTCCTGCGCCGGCGGCCTGGATAGTGTCTAGAATCTTCGCCGGTACCGTTGCGGCGATGGCAGTGATAAGATGGTATTCGTGGCTGCGAGGGAGTTAGCGGTCGCAAACACAGTCCAAATTTCGGCACACTTGCGTTATGAATCCTCCAGCCTCTATGATGGCTTTCTTCGCATCCTCCATGATCGAAGCAGGGGTGTCTTTCGGATAGCTTATTATGACTTGGTGCTTCGGTTCCACAGCGGCGGCGGCGAAGATGGCCAGCAGCGCCAACAGAAGAGAGCTGATAACGAGCTTCATTTTGCGTTATGGTGTTCGGCGTTCAGACCTAGGATGTTCTGGTACAGGATTGACTCGTGAATGGTGATGCGATGGGGTGATGTTCGTGTTGTACAGAGCACCGTTGCGCTGCTACCATTTAGTTGCCTTTGATGGGCGCAAGGGTCCACAACGTCATCGTCTTCACGTGACAGGCTCTGACTTTAGCTCTGCACTTGCACTTCGCAGTTCTCGGCATATGCACCGCTCGACAACTCATCGCTTCGTCAACTCCGCGACACCCACTCGAATCCATCAATTCAAGAACTTCACAAGCTCAAGACCCACGGTCGTTGGGTCATCACCGCGTGTTCCGCCCAAGACATTCGCCGCGCGCGCGCATCGGGAGATCTCAGACAAAGGCAAGTTCGCTACAGCGCAATACCGTATTGTGATAAGAGCGGCTCGAGGCTGGTACGGCAACTGTGGAGAGCAGAATCTGCTCGAGTACTCTGAACGCCCTGTTGGTGGGTGCGGTGAATGGCAGAAGGGTGAATGGTCAGAAAGAGCTTCGGAAGCGCACTGGGGATATATTGAAGCAAGCCACGGTTTAGCTAGCAACCCGACTACACTTCTTGCATAACTCGTCCTGACCAAGGGCTGAAAGATCCTCGCACCGCTCGCTTCGCGCTTCGCGATACTGTGGTGCTGTCGGGTCCTCCACGTCACACGCTCGAGGCTGTCTCGAGTGGTGTTTTCTACCGTCCCGTCACGCCGGGACAGTCTTCATCGAAGCAACTAGATAGCATATTTGTGCATCACTGCGTGCTGAACTTCCATCTCGTGAAGCCGTCATGTCTTCCAGATCGCCGCGCGGCTCCTTCTCAGGCGGGTCTTCTGCTGAAGTGGCCGCCGACTTCGAAGAATCTCTGAAAGATCTCCAGAGTAACAACAGGTACGAGATCAGCAACCTGACTGTCATCGCCAAAGAAAATACGGAGCACGCGCAGGCAATATCGAAAGCACTGGAGAACCACATCAAGCAGGTAAGGACAATAGGACACTACACAATCGTCCACACTCACGTGACGTTCTATTTTTGGATCCAAACTGATATCGTTTACTGCAGACGTCTCCAACGCGCAAACTGCCAGCGCTCTTCGTTCTCGACAGCATTGTTAAGAATGTAGGCACACCCTACACAGTTTACCTTGGTCGGAACCTCTACAATACCTTCATGGAAGCTTACACTCTGGTCGACAACGCGACAAGGCGCCATATGGATGCGATGCTGCGAACGTGGAAAGAGCCCGTGCCTGGATCTATTGACCCGCGACCTGTCTTCCCTCGAGAGACTGTTCAGCCCCTTGAAAACGCCATGATAAAGGCTAGGGCGGCGCTGGAGAAGATCAGGCAGTCACAGACTCAGTTTCAAGGCGTGGCGACACCACCTCAGCAGAATGGCCAATACCCTCGGCCGCCTTCTCACACGCCGCAGCCAATGTATCCAGGCCACCCCGTTCCGCAGGTATGTATCTCTGCGGAGCTTCCGTCGACCATGTCACTGACCGCATCACAGGCTACACCACAGTCTCAGCCGTATGCATACCAGCCGCCACTCACAAACTTGAACAACGAGATCGAGAGCGTGAAGCGTGACATCGACTCATTGATCCCAAGATTTCAGTACCAGCTTGCAAGTAGGCCGCACGATGTAGGTCTACAGACTCAGTTCAACGCGCTGAACCAGCTGCGCAACCTCCTCAACATCCAGCGTGTGAGCTCTAGCGAGCTTCAGCAGATCAAGCAACAGGTCTCCTCTCTGGCCCCGGCAGTGCCAGCATTTCCACCACCCGTACCTCCTCCGCAGGTGCCCCAGCCGCAGTGGCAGACACCGACACCACTTCCTCTCGCATTCCAACCGCCGCTCCCGATCCCGACTGCTACGCCTTCGCATGCTGGGCCACCACCTAACCTGACCCCTGACGCATTGAATGGCTTGCAAGCATTGTTGGCCGGCACACAAAAGCCTAGCACACCGCAGCTGCGCGCGGCCATTCCTGGATTTCACAACGCGAGTCACTCCCAGCTCAATGCAGTCCAGAGCCATACCAGCTCGGCACCTCAAGCCAACGACGCGGCAGATCTAATCGCGTCTTTGACGAAGGCCGGGCTCATCAAGCCTGTCTCCAGCGCTGCACCGCCTGCCAATCCCGTCGCAACGGCACCAGCTGCATCAGATCCGACTGCAGAATTGTTGAAGTCACTTCAAGCGGTAGCGCCGCTTCCTTCACAAGCCGCAACTCCATTACAGTCACACGCTCAACCTGTACGAGCGCATCTCCAAGTGCCGATTACAGCAGCGAGTTTGAAGACCTTCCGCCCCGAGCTAGTTGCCGCGATGTACGATGCGTTGCCAAACCAGTGCAGCACATGCGGACGACGCTTTTCCACCACCGAAGAAGGCAGGCAGAAGAAGAGTCTTCACTTGGACTGGCACTTTCGAACAAACCAGCGTATCGCCGATCCCAACACCAACCGCGGCCACCACAGGAATTGGTTCCCAAATGAGATGGAGTGGATACAGCACATCGAATTCGATCCTTCGACAACTACCGCCACTGCGAAGGAAAACACGGAAGCAGCAAAGGCGCAGAAGAGTCCACAGGAGCAGGTTGTCCGGGCCCCAGCTGGCATGACCAAGAGCACATGCACCATTTGCTACGAGGACTTACATAGCACGTATTCCGAGGAGCATCAGGACTGGGTCTTCGCCAATGCTGGGTACATGAACAAGAAGATCGTTCACGCGACGTGTCTCGCAGAGTTGACAAAGTCGCAACCGGTGGCTAGCATCGACAGAGGAGCACTTGCTGCAGCGCTCGCAAGCGTCGGTGCCAACCAGCGAGAGCGCAGCTCAACACCGGACTCATCCCTGGGGAAGAGAAAGGCTGAGTCTGAGATGGCGGGCAACGGGCCTCGCATCAAAATGCAGTGAGGCGTCGATCGAGACAGCGAGAAGTGTACTTAGATGAGGTTTCTTACTTTGACAAGCGTGGCGCTGGTGGTGACAATTTGCTCGAATTGCAGCAACAGCATGGGAGGGAGTTTCAGCAGCATAGACAGCGAATCACAAAAGCCGAACTTCGGCCGTACTGCATGCAACATGCAACTTCCTGTTCCACTTTCACATATCGTTGCACTGACCCAAACATCAAAAATGGCAGACCCAGAAACCTTACCAGACGCACCAGAGTCCACAACAGACACACCACAAGTAACACAACCAAGCACACAAAAATCATCATCACGACAGCCAAGAAATGCCACAAAAAACCAGACGCTCAGCGAGTTCTCAATCCGCAAACCAGATTGGGTCTACATTCGCCTTCAACACCTCTCATCCAAAACAAATCAAGCACTCGATGGCGTCACCGCACAATTGCACTTGAACGCTGCTCTATCCTCTTTTCTAGGCCTTCACGGCTCAGCAATTCCAATCGACATCTTACACCTCCAAGACCAAGACGTCTGGATCAGAGCTCCAGCAGAAGAACGAGCTGCAATCATCGCAGCTGCCGGAGGCTGGATCAGCAGCAGCGGTGAAGGCTGGCGCGTGCGAGGTTGGAGTCACTGGAACGCGAACGCTTTCGGTCGAGATGCAGGGCAGGATTTATTTGATTGAAGTTTGGGTCAACGAAGAACGAAGAACGTTCCGACAGACGCGACGAATACATGAAACATGGCATGAGAGACTCTTCAGAAGTTACATGTCAAATGTTGGCCATTATCAAAGGCTCGAGAGCGTATGCTCTGCGTGACAAAACTAGTGTACAGCATTAAAAAAAGTTCCTTTCTGACCCCTTCTCCCAAATGCTGTTGTACTGGGCCTGTAAGCTGCCCATCTCAATACTGCAACGTGCCTGCTAGAAATGCCCACGAATCGTCAAATCAAGATAGAAGAACGAAAAGGTATCAGTTGTTCGGCAAGTCCAAAACACCCAATTGTCGCAAGCGCTCTGGGTTCATTTCTCCGTAGTTCGTCCGCTGGGCAGCCTTTTCTGTTTCATCCTGATCAGGACTGCCAGTAGTAGGCGGCGTCGCAGTCTGCACGGGTTCGTCACTGCGCGAGCCGGGACGACTTTGTGAGCGCGCGGCTCCTTTGATAGAAAAGCCGAGATCCTCGTGACTTGAAGTACCGTTCATGTAGTCTCCGTCATTGGTTCGAGGAGTTGCTTGCTCGCTGTCTATGCCCGGTTCAGTGACCGGCGGCGGAGGGGGAGGAGGTGGTGGTGCAAAGTCGATCGGCTCCATACGCTGCTTCTTGGCGGCAAGCTCTTCGTCGGTGAGACTTGAAGGATCGTCACGCCTCCGCTTGAGCGCAGTGTCCTGAGGAGTAGCATCCACCGCATCGTCCATCTCTTGGTCCGACAAAACATCGTCGTCTACAGCGACTGGACTGGCCACTGCGGGCGGCGGTGAACCTGGTGGGGTCTTGCTGCCATCCTCGCCGCTCTTCTCCTTCTGCGCCTTCCTCTCCGCTCGTTTCTGGTCGGCCACAAGCTTCTTCTTCTTGGCTTTCTCGAAAAAGGCTTGACATTGCTTCTTGACATCTTTTGCTCTCTTGTCACTGACCTTGTTGGGATCGTCCACTCGACCTTTCCTGAAATCAGAATCAACAACTTGTTTGGCGAACTCCTTGGACCAGCGTTTGAGGTCTTCTTTTGGCAGCTCTTTCCTGAACTTCCCTGCCACATGCAGGATATGGGGTTGCAATGCGTTTTCGTACAGCTTCTTCTGCTTCTCCTCTGGAAGTTTCCGCCACTTTTCTTCTTTGCGCTCCTTCTTCGGCGTCTCGACAGGAGTCGAAGTGGCAGAGGGCTTAGCCGGTTGATCTTGTTTCGAGGCGACAATGTTCTTGATGAGATCTTGTAAAGCCATCTGGTCAGTCACCGCCTTCGGAGGTGGAGGCGGAGGCGCCGCATTGGCAGCCACGGTCGGCCGCTGCCATGTTGTTGTGCCATTCTGTGTGTAATAGTAGGTGGCGCCATTGGCAGCAGTCGCTTCAAACCAACCAGCAGGCAAGCCAGTTCCAGGTGGAGGTGGTCGAAAACGCCCCGGAGGTCTCGTGAAGCCTGGACGCGCTGGCGCACCTGCTCGAGGACCTGTCGGCGCTACTATGCGCTCGGGCGATTTCGATCGTGACCGAGACTTGCTGCGTCGTCGCTCCCCATCTCGTCGATCTGTCTTGCGGTCGGGAACAGCGTTGGGGTCACGTTTGACACGTGGTATACGGTAACCGACCTCCAGCTTCGACCACGCTTCTAGCAGTTCTCTAGCGCGAAACGCAACTCGTTCATCCTCATTCTCAGTCAAAGGCTCAATTGCCTCTTCAATCTTCGAATCCTGGATCTTGTTGCGGGTGAGCCTCGGCATGGTGTCTAGAATGTCCAGGATCTGAATGCACACATTGGTGTCTTCCTTGAAGTTAGACAGAGCCGTCTTGAGTATGCGATACCCGTGGAAGCGAATGACCCGTTGGCGGACCTTGTCATCAGTCGCGCGTTGTATGCGTGACAGGAGCTTGACCGCAATCCACTTCTCCTTGCATTGCATGAGGGAAGACATGACCTTGTTTACGCCTTCTTCGTCGAGACCCCTAGGCTCGATGTTGTTGACGTATTCCTCATCGTCCTCACCAGCCTTCTTCTTGCGAGGGCGCTTGGCCACGGCAGTGTCCCACGCATCAGCGTCATCAATGCCCAAAGCCTCGATGATAGTACTGGAGAGCTTGGTAGCACGCTCTGTTTGCGTCTTGCCACCAATGAAACCAGTACAGTTCGGTTCTTCGCAGTAACATGGCTGTGGATCTGCACCGTACCGGTCCACATTGTAGTTGAAGACAAGTTCCTCGCCGGCTTTGATCTTGCGTTCGGCAAATATGCCCATTCGAAGTTTGTCGCCCACCACCCATTTATCGACGTAACAGTTGGGATTACAGCTGTGATTGCAAAACCGTCCCAGGTTGCCTTTCTTTGTTGCGTCAACGAATTCGCCTTTCGACAAACTCATAAAGTAGAAGTGTTTTATCCCCTCCTCGTCATACTGGTGCAATCGCCGCCGGAAGACTTGGTCACCAATGACCTCGCCAATGTATTCGAAAATGAAGTCGTTAGGCCGTAAATCGGTATTGGCGCGGAGCCCGTAGCCTTTCTTTTCTGTTTTGAAGACCGAAACATCAGCGTACTGCTTGTTGTGGAAGCGTCGGTTCTGGCAGGCTGAGCCGCAAGTGCAGTCGCCGATACACTCCATCTTCGTCGCGCGATTGATGCAATCGCTATCCTCTCCGCAGGCCTCATTCGTCCGCGATGATGAGTCTATAACGTGTATCAGTATAATTCTCTCCAAAGCACAATCCTTCCCCATGACATGCGAACAACGTACCCCATTCTTCCACGCAATCACATTCGAGTGCATGTTCAGTGGTACCCAAGTATTTGTTGGCATACGTGCACTGCGGCAGGACCTCGAACGTAGACTTTGACTCTTCTGTGGTGTCGGCATGATCGAAGTACAACCGTGCACTTCGTTTTTCAATCTTATGCGAAGTCGTGCGCGACAGCTTTGGCGGCTTGCCCGGCTCGGTCTTCAATGTGACTTCGCCGCCAATAGTCTCCTCGTCGTCCGTTTTGATGGCCGGAGAATCAGCGCTCGCTCGTGATTTGACGGGCGACTTCGACCGTCGCTTCATGCTGGACGGCGTGCCACTGCCACTGGCCTGGCCAGAGTTGACCTCCTTGGCCGCCGCCGCAGAGAGAGATATGGTGTCCATGTCTACGCTTTCCTCTTCCTCTTTCAGCTTCATTTCTCGTACTTCCGACTCCAGTACGTCCTGCTTGATTTCATTGTCGTCCATGTTGGCCTCGCGGACGGTGCTGATGTAGTGGGAAGGCGTGACGCGGAGAAGCAAATGGCAGCTTCACGGATGGCAACCTCTCTCTCTCCAATGACGCCGGACACTTGACACCTGAAAACACACGTGCCACCAGGAAATCACCTGCGCATGTCTCGTCGACGCCGTAACCCGCGCTCGGCGTCAGTCTCTTCGGCTACCTAAGCGTGGTTGCGCAAGGCGGAAAAATGTGCATTGGTGGCGCGGAGCGCGAGTGACTAGCGGCGATGTTGGAGTGGGTCTGGGCGATAGAGGTTCGCGATGCGTTCGAGGCACTTCGTTGAGCGAGAAACGGTGGTCACAATATGGGAGTGATTCGGAACTTGGCTTCATTCAGTATGTCGCTACAAAGTAGTGTAAAGTCTGGAACTCGATTCCGTACCAGTCGTGGCTGCTGTATCTTCAGATCTTGGACACTTGATATGGAGGGGAATCGAAACACGCAGTCAGAGGCGAGCAAAGGAGTGTAATTGCGTGGGTTTACAGTGCAAATGGGAACGAAGAAGGAAGGCGTTTTGGAGATGGCAGGACGCTGGCTTTCGGCAAACTCCCGCTTCTCGAGCCAAGTCTACGACAGGTAGATGCTATAAGTACGCAGGACGGCCGCCATGACATCGGAGATCAATGTCTCGACAATACGACGACATGTACAAGACGTGCACAACTGCACAATTTGCATATACCGTAACCATACGCCCTGCTCTCTGGTCAGCTCGCCGAGGCTGGCTCAGGTGACACACGTGAAGTGAGGCACCAAAGAAAGATCGGAGGGCGCGTCGGTTCGTCCTGAGGCCTTTCCAGGAAGATACTTGTTGTATCAAGTCTGCGACTGGCAGGCGACCACAGACGACCTTGGGATGTCTCGAGACGGTACGAGAGATGGTGAACGGCAAACATTGCGCCAGACGGAGCCGATCATATAGGTGGACTTATGGCCCGATACGAGGGCAATGCCAACGTTTCGTGATGGAGCAGTCTATGCAGAGCCTTCAACGGCGCACGCGATGGTTGTGGGCCCAAGAGCGCAATGACGAATATGCGGTCGGTGTCATGGAGGAGCAGGCTCGGTGTCTCGTCGACGCAAAAGTCTTTCAGTTTTATTATCCTGCAGCGGTCCGGGCGGATAGAGAGAGGAAGTGCGCGCCATTCAGTGGCGGGATGTGTTTAGTCTATTCTCTTTTAGCATACTAAGCACTCCTCCTGCGTCTGAGACGGCGAACCGCCAACGTGCACAGGCATAGCACCAACTGCTGTTTTACAGCGGCTATTCCGCAACGATAGGTCAAAACCGCCTGACGGAGGGCAGACGCGCAGCAGGATTGAATGGATACAGAGATGTCGCTGTCGGGTATGTACGTGAGCCCGCTGGAGGTGTCGCCAGTAGCAGATGTCGAAGATGGCGTACCACAGCGTATCATTTCGAGGTGTATCTCACGAACGAAGGAGATGAACCGAGCACGCGGGAGCAGGCACGGACCCAGCAGATGCCGAGCAGCGATCGCAGTTGCCCTGTGTGTAGCTCCGCCCGACCCCGGTCAACGTTGCTCGTCTTCACACCGCAGCCTCCAGCGCGCGCGCACCGCAGCGACGATGCCACCTCGCCGGCGCGCCCACGACGATGTCCGCG